CGGCCTTCTAGATTCTTATTCTTTGCCCGTGCCCTCAGTGAATTGTACACGAAACAAACTCTTAATGAGAATAATGATAACGATAAAAGATATTGCGCAACAGCTCTGATTACAAGCTGCAACTGCAGACTGCTGAGCGCTAACAACTTCCGGTGACGCAGGTCACGCGACACCGTAGGTTAAAGATTTACCTGCTTTATTTTATTTTATTTTTTTAAATACTTTTTGTGAAAATGAGACAGATAGGATGATTAGGGTGCAGTGTATATTAACACAAAAAATATACATTACGAACATGCACAAATACACACAAATGGTTGTTGTTTTTTTTCTCTTCCACACCCCTCGCGATCGACTTGGGACCAGTCCGCGATCTACCGATTGATCGTGATCGACGTAATGTGCACCCCTGGTGTAAAGAGAGAAGCAAGGATCTAGGACGCTGCAATTAGAGGAATGAGAGGAGCCCAATGACACAATGTCATCTCAAGCAGATGTTCTCATGAAACGATGACATCGAGCAGCGATCGTCTCATTACCCCAAAACATTGCGATGACCTCCCGTCTCGCTCCTTTGTCAATCTCCTTGATGGAAATTCTGGTGGGAGGTGCTAGCATGTAAACAAAAGAGTGAGGACCGAGGAAGAGATGGGCCCATTGTGTGAAATATAAATAGAATATTATGTTTTTCCATTTAACCTTTATTTGACCAGGAAATATCCCATTAAGACTCAAAACCTCTTTTTCAAGGGAGTCCTGGCCAAGAGGCAACATCAAAATAAACAAATGAGGTTACATATAGAACAGATAATTTTACAAACACCATCCATCCATTATCTGATCCACTTATCTTCGCAAGGTTTGCGGGCATGCTGTAGCCTATCCCACTTGTCTTCGGGTAGCAGGGGTACCCTCTGAACTGGTTGCTAGTCAACCGCAGATTTTACAATCAGATTTATGAAAAAAAAAAATTCATTTTGTGGAGGTTGTCTCAAAAACTCTCAGCATAGATTTAAAAGTGTTCCAGCCTTTTTGCAGCACATTGGATGCATAAGGAGCTGAGTAATCAAAAGGCCTTTTACGCAAACGTACAGGCATAAGGGACCGAAAGCATCTTCTTGCGATTGAAGAGAATTGGGTTCAGCATTTTTCAAAGAATGCATTGATTTTCAAATTTTCTTCAAGCTATCTTCAGTTGAATGAACTACCAAGACACGATACTTGATGTTTGTGCTGATGAAAATTAATTTAATGCCTCCAAGACGTTCCAAAAAGGCTGGAAGAGGGACAAAAAAAGACTGGGAACATTGAGGAATACTTGTAAAAAAACACCACTTTGGAATTCCATAGCTGAACAGCAAAGTTCAGCAAAACCACAAAGTTGTACCATCGACTTACTCCCCGGAGCCCCCCCTACCTTCTAGTAGACTTTATGACCTGTCACATACCGAGATCGAGGCAGTGGAGAAGTATTTCAGTGACTCTTTGGCTGACGGTATTATCTGTCCGTCTTCCTCTCCTCTTGGGTCTGGAATTTTATCTGTGAACAAAAAAGACCAGACCCGACGACCATGCCTCAACAATCGAGGACTAAATTACATCACTATCAAGAATAAGGATTAACTCTCACTCATCAAGCCCTCCTTTGAGCCCCTCAACCAAGCCATCATTTCCACCAAACTAGTTCTTCGCAATGCTTAGGCGCAGAAAAAAAAGTAGTGTCTTTCCGGTAACCCGACCGACGGAGAATTTCTACGTCGAAAAAAAACTTTACGGTCGGCATTTTTTTCAAACAACCCTCTACATTTTTGTGTAGAGGGTTTACATCGGTGCAAACTCTCGCGATATTCACGTTGAGCGCGTGCGTCGTTTGCCCTGTCGTCTGTCAACAACATTGAAACATGGCGGCGGCCGCGATCTCCAACGAGTTTAAACCGCGTTTTCTGTGTTACAGTCGCGAGCTCGCACCGTAATGTTAATAGCATCCATTGATGTATCGAAAAAATTCAGCGAACTATTTGATGAACACCACGGGCCAAGTAAAAACTGAGGGCGGAGGAAGATGGTGGCGGAGGCGGCGGTGTTGAATACACTCTTCGTCAGAGCAGAAAAATGCGAGTTTGGTGTTTCCGCTACTAGTTTCCTTGGCCAAATTCTCACTCAGGCTCACCTTAGGCCAGATCCCGTTAAGATTGAGGCAGTGGCTAATTGGAAAGTCCCTTCTTCACGCAAACAGCTCCAGCATTTCCTGGGGTTTGCAAACTTCGACAGGAGGTTCATTCATGACTACAGCAAGGTCACCGCATCCCTCACCCAACTCACCTCTACAGTCTCCCTTTTCGCACGGATCCCCAAAGCTGACGGTGCCTTCAAACACCTCAAAAGACTTTTCACCTCTGGTCCTGTCCTCATCCATCATGATCCTGCTCTCCAGTTCATCGTCGAGGTGGATGCTTCTAATTCCGGGATTGGGGTATTGCTCTCACGGAGAAGTTCCAACGATCAAATGCTACATCCTTGTGCATTCTTTTCACAGAAATTGTTCCTCCATAGAGAAACGATGATGTCGGCAACTGTGAATTGTTGGCTGTGGTGGATCCCTTCAGAAGTTGAGACATTGTCTGGAGGGAGCTGAGATCCCCTTTCTGGTACTAACGGAGCACAAAAACCTCATGTATCTGCAATCTGCCAAGTGTCTAAATTCCCATCAGGCTCGTAGGGCCTTGTTCCTGGGGCGTTTTAATCTCTCTCTATCTTACCATCCAGGCTCCTGTAATTGTAAACCTGATGCTCTCTCTCATATGCATGATCCATCTTCAGAGAGGCAAGAGCCCAAGACCATCCTCTCCTCTTCATGCTTCATCGGGGTGGCAAAGCGGGATATTGAACAGGCAGTTCTGGAGAGACAATGACAGCAACCAGATCGTGGCTTGGGCCCGAAGGATCGATTCTTTGTCCCACGTTCCGTCCGCTCTCAAGTCCTGCAATGAGGACACTCCTCCAAGTTGGCTTGTCATCCTGGGGTGAATCGAAGTCTCCAGTTCTTGCGACATTTCTGGTGGCCCCGGATGGTCCAAGATGTCAGAGAGTTCGTCGCCGCCTGACTCATGTGTGTTGGAGAGAAATCCTCTCACCATTAACATTTTAATATAACAAAATAGTGGTGGGGGTGGGAGGGGTTGTGCCATAGTACAAAATAGGCCACTGTGATGCAACAAGTGTTATGTAGTTCTAATCCATATATCATCTTTTCCCACTGACACTTTGCATGTTTTCAATCAAGCCATAAAAATACATGAATTTCTCTTGAGTAAATTTATTTTTAACATTGTAGGAACATTTTAAAACTACACATTATAAGCACCCTGTGGGAACAGTATGAATCAAGTTTATTTGGATGGCCCTTGATCACAGAAGCGTGTCAAACACTTCCACAAACCCACATTTAACAAATATTAGCAAAATTCATAAGACCAAATATTTATTGCATGCAAAAAGGAATTACAAAATAAAACATTTGTCAATAAAAGAGAATGTCTTAACGCCGAGAGCTGCAGTCAGACCAAACACGAATTAAATGTTCCCCGTGGCATGATTACTCATGAAATCAATGCAGTTTACAGGGATACCCGAGAATCTGTAACAGGCGATGCAGATGATGCGTTTGATGAGACGTGAATGGGGGTTCGCACCCGCAAATTCACTTGCAATTGAAAAACGTATCAAAGATGCATTGTGTTGGCATATTCTGCCAACTGTGAATCAAGGCCACTATTCTTGTTTGTCGATGACATTTCATCTTTAATCCAAGAGCCTGCTTCAGTTGTATATTTTTGTGGAGGGCCCATTTGTCAGGTGGCCCTGAAGTGCAAGATGCAATAGCAAACAACTAAACCCTACTGCAAATTTAAAAAACATGACAGCAAATAGTTAATCGTAATAAAAATAGTTCCAAACAACAAAAATAAACACAAATGCAAATGAAAAGCCATCAAAACCCTAAATGGCCTTCTTTCCATTATCTGATTCGCTTTATGCTCACGAGGTTTGCGGGCCTGCTGGAGCCTATCCCAGCTTTCTTTGGGCAGTAGGCGGCAGACACCCTGAACTGGTTGCCAGTCAATAGCAAAGCGTATGTTGACAAACAACTATTCACACTCGCAATTACACTTCGGGACAATTTGGAGCAGCGGTCCCCAACTTTTTTGCCCCACGGACCGGTTTCATGTCAAACAATATTTTCAGGGACCAGCCTTGAAGGTGTGACAAATAAATACAACAAAATTATATGATATAACCTGCATGAAAACTGTGGTATTTTCGAAACATAATAATAAACACGAATCATGACACGAGGAACGTCCTATCTGGCCGCAACACTCTCTGGTCACTATGGTAATGTTTAAACGTGCCTTCAAAATAAGATACACCGCAAATACGTAGTGCATGAAAAATACGACTCACCATCACCACATATTATGCAGAGTGGGCTTGGTGCTTGGGAATCTCCCGTTGAGATAAATCCATATTTTAAGTAGGACTCCTGATACTGTCTAGTAAATGTAGCCTTCTTTTTCTTGAAAGTCAGAGGCTCCTCTTCTGTCTCCGGGCTGGGCCTTTTCCCCTTCCCAATGACGTTTGTTTTCACTCATTTTGATAGCTCCTGGGTTTCATTTTAGCGGTAACCTATCACGTGACCGAGAAGTGCGCCTTTAACCGCGTCAAGAGTAACATACTGTACACGGATGTAACAGAGAATCCGGTAATTTTTCAAAATAGAACATCTTTCTGATTCCGAAATGAATGAAACGGAAGTAATTTAAGTTGTTTATTCTTTCTTTGCGGTCTGGTACCAAATGACCCACGGACCAGCACCGGTCTGCAGCCCGGGGGTTGGGGACCCCTGATTTAGAGTGTTCAAATCAACCTACCATCCATGTTTTTGGAATGTGGGAGGAAATCGGAGTTACCCGGAGAAAACCCATGCAGGCAGGGGGGGAACATGTAAACTCCACACAGGAAGGCCAGAGCCAGAATCGAACCCTGCACCTCTGCACTGAGGCGGACGTGCTAACATGTCGATCACCGTGCTGCCGCAAGAAACTCAACAAAAACAAAAATTTAATGAAAGAAAAAAGAAGAAATTAGCAACTCATCACAAATAATAGCTTTAAGAGATAATCAATGAAGCCAATCTTCAACAAGAAGACTCTTCGATTTCCTCAAATAACATGCACCTTTCTAGAGAGGGCCTCTTTTTCTTCTTGATGACGTTTCATAAGAAGGTCAACGGTGGCCTGTTGGGAAATGTTCCAGCTCTCAGTACAAGGAGTGCGTCCAATAGAATCTCCCAACTGTTGTGTTTTACTTGATTTTGATTGAGGAGGCTGACTGAGAGGCTTGACTATGGTCTTAGCATACTCCAAAGCCTGAGACAGACCGAGACAGAGACAAAGAGTATACAAATGGAGATAGAAATTAGAAAATGAAAATCATAGAAAATATATAGTCTCGATATATATACATACAGTACTAATATTAGTAACACTACTAGCCTACAGTAGTGCCAAAATCTTGTTAGCACTACTATTTTGTTGTCTAAGCTCATGTGCTTTCTTCATTTTTTTTTTCATCACAAATTGTGTTTCCCTCTATATTGTCACAATAGCAAAGAGGGACAGGTTAGACAAACAAGTACACAAAAATCATGACACACCTTAATCCTGGGAACTTTCCTGTCTTTGCCTACTGGGTCCTTGGCCAACAGAAAGGGAATCTTAGTCATGTTTTTGTTCCTCTCGCGGACCGCATTTGAATACAGCTTCTGTTGGATCATCTTCTCAGCCTGGCAATGGTCAAAGAATGGGAACAAATATACAAAAAAAAAGAAAAGAAAGACAGATTCACATGCAGATTATGAAGAGGAGCCTCTCCACACAACCCGAACAAAAACCAAACTCAGCAAGCTATTCACTGGGTCTATAAACAATTATATATATCATTCACTAATAGACTTGGCCCTGGAGATACGCAGGCCCCAATTTGGAGTAAATTAGCCAAACATGCTCACTTTTTACAACAGGGGATTAAGAAAAGATATATTGAAGCCAAAGAGCACTTCTAATGGGTAATCTCATTTACTTTGTAAATGTAATGTTATCTTTGGTGTAGCAAGTGAGCTTTTAAATGATGAACTGATGAGCCAGTGCATATAAAAACAGTCATTGTACAAACCCGAATTCCAACGAAGTTGAGATGTTGTGTAACATACGTCGTCAGGCAAAATGATCTGGCACATTTGTAGGTTACATAAAAGGCAAATAAAGTAAAGAAACACAAAATAGTTTTTATTTTCGAAAAGTACATGTAATGCCATTTTTTTTTCATATAATGCCATTTTGCTTTGTTTCTTTATAATGCTATTGTTTTTCGTTTCTTTTTCAGTTGCTGCCATAAATTGGGACTGGTGAGCATCGCGCTTTTATTGTGGAAACATTTATCAAAACAAATGAATCTGTAACTGCAACACAACGAGCGTTCCGTTTGCACTTCAATCTTGGCAGACATGATCCCGTACCAGCTCGAAACACGGTCGTATGGGGGTTACCAACTTCAGGGCTACTGGATCTGCATTGAAACGAAAATCAACCCGCCGACCTCACACCGCCAGAACTCCACTTAATTTTTAAAACATAATGAAACAGAATGACATTATATGTACTTTTCGAAAATAAAAACACTTTTTTGTTTCTTTACTTTGTTTGACTTTTATTTAACCTACAAATGTGTCAGATCATTTTGCCTGACCCTGCCTAACAAACAAAAGAATACATTTTCAAATATATATACATTCGTTTTGAATTTTATGCCTGCAACATGTTCAAAGGTGTTTGTACATGGGTTTCCCACTCTGTTATATCACCTTTGCTTTTAACAACAGTCAATAATTATTTCGGAACTGAGGATAGATTGTTCAAGGTTTGTATTTTGGAATTCTTTCCTGTTTTTGATTTATATACAATTTCGGTTGCTCAACAGTCCAGAGTCTTGGTTGTCTTATTTTATGCCTCATAACGCACTACACTTGTTTAATGAGTGGCAGGTCTGGACTGCTGATTGGCCAGTCTCCTCAAAGTCTTTTACTATAAAGCTACACTGGTGTAACACATACAGAATGTGGCTTGGCATTGTCTTGCTGAAAAACGTAGCGAGTTCCCTGAAATAGATGCTGCTTGGATGGCAGCACATGTTGCTCCGAAACCTGTATACCAGGGGTGTCTGGGAGAGCTGGAAAGTCCAAAGTCGGTCCTCAGGGGCCGCCGTCCTGCCTGTTTTCCAGCTCTCTCGGATGCAACACACCTGATTCCAATCATCAGGGTTGTAGTTGTCATGTTCCTGTTCTTGGCTTTGCCAGCAGGTAGTAAATTTGCATTTAATTTTGTTTGTCTCGGGTTAATTTTCTTCCTTGCCTTTTGTACGAGCGCTTTTGGTTATCGTTTTGTTGTGCTTTATATTTCTACTTTGTCGGTGCGTTTTTGTATTAAACATTTTTGTTAGAGTTTTTGTCTGGTATGTACTATTTTGGGATCCAAAAACATTATTTGGTTCGTCTGAATCGTGACAGTTCTAATGCTGCTTCAGAGCTGGCTGATGAGCCATCATCTGAATCAGGTGTGTTGCAGCCGGGAGAGCTGGAAAACGGGCAGGACGGCGGCCCCTGAGGACCGACTTTGGACACCCCTGCTGTATACCTTTCAGGATTATTATGACCTGCACGAAACTGTTAAGTAACACCCCCTCCATTCCATCACAGATGCTGGCTTTTTAACTTTGCACTTAGAACAATCTGGATTGTCCTTCCCCTCTTTGGCCTGGAGGGCACAATGGCCCTGATTTAAAAAAAAAAAAAAAAAGGAACATGGACACGTCAGACCACAGCACACTTTTCCACTTTGTCAGTCAAATGATAATGTCCCTAAATTGCCTGCAATTTTATGTAAATAAATCATTTAAAACTGTTGGACTACAGTGAAAGTCATCTACAACGAAATCATGTTTGCAGCAAGAAAGTTTTCACAACAGGGGGTTTTTCACTGCAGCAAATTTGATCTCAGATGTAAGCACACACACACACACACACACACACACACACACACACACACACACACACACACACACACACACACACACACACACACACACACACACACACACACACACACACACACACACACACACACAAACGTATGTGTACACGCACACATAAACGTATGTGTACAGTGTACTCTATTTTTATTCCAATAGTGCGTAAGTATGAGCACACACTTATTTGACACTTTATATTGTCAGCGTAGAAAGAAAAAAAGGGAAAAGAAATTGCGAAATTTACGATCAGCATTCACTTTCACTTATATCAATTTCTTAGATAATGTCTTTTATTTTGCTTGCTCCGTGTTTCATTTTAATCACTTTTACCCTCTCTTCCAGCATCAGAGCTCTTATTGTCTTAGCTTCTTGACATCCAAAGGTCCGTTTTGTAGCCATTTTAGCAATGCAACGTTCATGCTGAATCTAACAATAACAAATACTTCCTGGACCCGATGGCTTTTCTTTCCACCATCTCACTGTCTCTAACTCGACCTCCCCTCAATCGCCACCCAAGACAGCGTTGCTCAGCTGATGTCATGCAATGAACTTTTAAAGCCAGCCACGGGACGCTTCATAGTCCTCGATGGACAAAGTTAGCGCAATGGAACTCGCCTTCTCTCTAATTAGCGCTCAAGTGAGCATAAGGTTTTTAGCATGATAACAAGTAAAGCATTCCAGGAAACGTTCGTTTATTTGACTGTCCGTCGAGCCACAAGCAATTTACTCTCAGCAGCTAATCGGATGCTCGGTAAGCCAATGGCAGAGCAGCTATGAGTATGTTGCGTTCAGGAAACTCGCAGCTGTGACCAAAATAAACATCATTCACTATGTAAACCAGTGTGGTGGTTGCTGTTGCCGTTTCCGAACGAAGCAGTAGAGGTCGCTGTTGGATTAGACTTCGTTGTAGTGAATGTCTTCGCGAGGCAGGAGCAGAGAAAATGATTTCGTATAACGCAACAGGGTTTTTTTTCGTCGTATGGGGGTCAGGAGAATGGGAATGGTGTTAATGCATGAGCATTTTTTCACATTAAGGGGGTATTTTCGCCCATGTAGGTTTCGTTCTAGAGGAGTTTCACTGTATTTGTTTTCTTCACACAAAGTAGTGAACCTTGCCCCAACTATGCTTGTGAACAACTGAATTGAGCCTTTCGGGGATTCTCCTTTTATACCGAATAATAACACTCATCTGTTTCCAATTAATTTGTTCACAAATGGAATGTTCCAAACAGCTGTTTTTTTGTTTGTTTGTTTGTTTTTGTTTTTTTTTTAGCATTTCTCAACTTTCCCAGTCTTTGCCCCTGATCTTTTTGGGATGTGTTTCGAGTATCTCATTCAAAATGACAGAATATTTGGAGGAAAAAACAGTAACGTTCATCAGTTTGAACATTAAATAACCTGTCGTTGTAGTTTAAGATAAGATAAGATAAGAAAACCTTTATTGGTCTCGCAATGGAGAAATTCCCAATTCACAGCAGCAAAGTTATGAAAGGAAGACGTAGAACAACAAAATATAGGAGCTGCTGGTAAGGCAGCAGTAAGGTAATTAATTGATTGAAAAGGATTTTCAAATCATTGTATTCCGTTTTTGCCGATGTATTACACAACACTGCAACTTCTTTGGAATTGGGGTTTGTATGAAGGCAACACGCTGACAAAAGATTCTTTCCCTGATTGTATTTGTCATATAAGTTACATAATTTCAAAGTAATAGGCCATGAGCGAAGGTATTCTAAAACCTTACCGAAAACACATTTTTTTTGCATCACTCATCACTCCGTCTACTATTCAGGATAAACGGTTCGGAATGAATAAAAGGTTTTGATTCAGCCTGATTCTGTTTGTGCTTGTCAAAAGAAACACTTGCGACAGTTTGTATTGCCCTGATACCATCCCTTTTTTTTTCAAGCGGTCGCCACATTGAGTTTGTCTCTTCCACTAAGACCTTCCAGTTTTCCGCCCTGATGAGGTCCTTTGTTGTATTGGCAGTATGTTTTGGGTCATTGTAAGATGGTTTTGTAGACCTCAGAATTCATTCAGCTGCTTAATCCATTCGGAGTTACACCAGAATCAGATTTATTGGCCATGTATGCAAAAGAAAAAAAAAACACAAGGAATTTACTTCCCAGTTACAACCCGTTCAGAGGAACATTGACAACACAGCAATAATTAAGATGGGGAGACGGAATGAGAAGCTTGGCGGGTCGCTGTTAAGCACCCCAATATCTTAGATGTGAAAGGAAAACTGTCGGGAAGAGGAGATGAAACAAAAAAAAACGATAGACTCCAACCATTCTCTCAAAGGGAGGATGGTTTGAGCCAGAGAACAAAACCTCAGCATACATAGTGTACATTTAAAAACTGTACAACAATTTTCAAGAGACAATATGAATACAGCGAAGACGTTGCCCCTGCAGCTTATCAGTCACAGGCTCGGGAGAATGAGATGAAAATAGGGAGATAGGACTCGCATCCGAAAGGTTTTTCCATCCAAAGAAAGTCCAGATAACTGCTTTGGGTACAGGCCCTCAGCAATTTCAGACAGCCTTGAATGTCTTTTAGCAGAACAAAAAGAGTCCACAGAGCAAGAAAATATCAATCAAGACTAGTGAGCCCATTGCAGAAGCAGCCATGCAAGCCCAAGCCATGACATTACCTCCACTATGCTTCACAAAAGAGCTTGCGTGTTTTGGATCATGAGCGGATCCTTTCTTTCTCCATACTTTGGCTTTTCCATCACTTTGTTAGGAGTTAATCACAGTCTCGTCAGTCCATAAGGCTTTGTTCCAAAACCTTTGTGGCTTATCTCTGTACTTCTTTGCAAAATCAAATTTAACCTTCAGATTCTTTTTTTCTGATGAGGGGTTTGCATGGGCGGCCCAGTGGTCGACTGGTGAGCGCGTCGACCTCACAGTGCAGAGGTCGTGGGTTCATTACTAAGGGGATGTTCTTTAGAACTTCCAACCATTCATTCAGCCAATCACAGATGCAACCCGCAAGCAGGCATGTTTGAACTAACATGAAAATACTGTAGCTGTGTTGTTGACTCACAAAACTTTTGCGAAGGAGGATATGCAACACACTGCCGAACGTGAGTTGATTACGTGATGTGATGACATATAAAGTCAATACAGTTTGCGTAGATATGGGTGAATCTGTGCCAGAATCAAATAACTGAGAATGTTCTTACTACGTCTCACACACACAGTGTACAATCCAGGTAAGAAGTGGACAAACAATGTCGGACAAAATAATCATTGTGTTCTGTGGGCTTGTACAACAGTTTCCAAGACGAGTCAATAAAGAGCAGGCAGAATGTGGAGCCCAGAAGCCAGGAAGTTGTCATACCTGCTAAGTAAGTGTATGGACTTGTTTACAGCTACTGAACCAAGATAGCACTAGTATTTAGCATAAGTTTTTCTGCCAAACTGCACATCACATGCTCATCGATGGCAGACTAGATATCATCCATCTCTTCTCAGTGCTCAGAATCCATGGTTGTAAAAAAAAGAAATTGGGCAAAACATCTGCAAAATAACAGAGGGCAAGCAGAAAACCCAACAGATAATTGGATCGACTTTGCTGTTAAGTTAGTGTCCGCCCTCTTGCGATGGAGTGCCTAAAAGCTCACTCATGTAAATTTTGCATGGCAGGATTATTATTATTTTTTTTTTAAATCGACTGCGAGTCGGATTGTAATGCAGAAATTGGGGCCCTTGTAACTCAAAGTCACTGTAATTTCAAATTCCCGAATCAAATCAAGTCGGGTAATATCGTGTACTATTTTTTTAACTTGACTTGTTTCGTGAACAGACTTTGGTTTGCAACATTCAAAGGCAACCACCAAATCATATTGTATAAGGTGCTACTTACTTGCTTCTTCACTGCTGTGTAGTCAGGGCCTAGACCTTGTAGCTTCACATCTAGCTTCAACTCTTTGTATTCTTTCAGGCTGTATGTCTGATAATATGGAGGAGAGAGATGCGTCAATTATTAATCACTGGGCACTATCATGAAATCCAGTCCAGTTGAACTCAATTATATTATACCGTATTGGCCCAAATATAAGACGGTGTTTTTTGCATTGAAATAAGACGGAAAAGGTGGGGATCGTCTTATATTCGGGGTCTACACATTATACCCATTCACAACGCTAAATGGTGCCAGATATCATTGAAGCGAATGCTGAACTTGACTCCCCAGGCCAAAGTATCCCCTGCCTGGAAGAATAAAAATAAAAATGGCAGTAGCACGAAGAAGAAAAATAAAAAATAGCGGTAAGAAGGAAAAGAGAAGAAAAAATAGAAGAGATAACAGAAAATGGAGAAACGTAGTGACAATCTGGAGAAAAGTGGGTCGAAGATCGGCCAGGTTAACCGGCAGCTGAGGAGAAGTTATGATGTCATTTACATTTCAAAAATCAGAAGCCATTCATTTACGAATGTGATTGCACTTTAGTTTACATATTTAAATGTTCAGATATTAAGATTTGAATGAGGCAAAATAACATGCTTTTTCTCTCAAATATATTGTTATAATCATTTGTTTCAGATGTACTGCAATTATTTTCTGTATAAAAATTAATTTGGTGTTCAAAAAGTCTTTTTTCAAACTTGAGTCTTGAAAAAGAGGGGGTCGTCTTATCATCAGGGCCGTCTTATATTCGGGCCAATACAGTAATAAACGGGTATTCTCTTACCAGCTTTCCTACACATCACCAGATATAATTTCTGTTCCTGATTTGGTCACATTGGAAAGATGTGCTTTAAGAAAGCTAAAACAAATGGCCATGTTGCTTGATTTAGCTTCAACATGTGGATTTGATAATAAAATGAAAAAAAAAAAAAGATCCATGCCCAATTAATAGACCAAGAAACCTGGCATCAGAGAAAGACCTTCTCGTAACTGGCAAAATGGGTGACCAGGGAGGACGAATGTCGGACATTATTAAAATTGATTTCAAGACTTTTCAAGAAAAACTGACCATTGTGAGGATCCGTTGGCCAACGCCGTTGCTTGTTAGGTTGTTTAAACACAGAAAAGGACTTTTATTCAGCACTTTCAGAGTGGCAAATATGAGGAGCTAGCGTTCTACCACTGACTCCCGAGATCTCTCCACTTATCTGCAGGTGCAGGTTAGTCCATGTGATGGAAATATGATACAACCCATGGTGCATCGGCATGTGCAGATTCTTCTGCAGTCAACTGCGGAAAACCATTTTAGTGACTGAAATGTGACTGAAATAGAAGCGCAGCGAGCACACGTGCAATGTCTACCGGACCAAAATTGTTGTGTGCACCACTTACTACAGTAAATCATATTGAATATGTATTTGCTTTTATTTAGCTTTGTTTTACTCCGCTGCCAGGTCAGCAGTGCAAAATTTGTGCAGACAAGTTATGATGGTTGTCTGTGCTCTCACCTAACTTGAAAAGGGTTCTGACTGTTTTAACCAGGGTTACTCTGGGACTTCACTCTTTTGAATTCCAATGATGATGCAAATTCCTCTTTTTCCTTTTATTTTGGACTTGATTGTCTCTTTTTTTTCATTGAAATCCCCAACAGTTCTAATTTGCAAGGCGAACAACTTTTGAAGGTGGAAACACACAAAGGCAATTAGGAACTAACTTTTTAGTTAAAGGCTAAAGACTCTTTCCAGCTTTACAGATAAATCATTCAGCAACCAATTCAAGATATCAAACATTACAATAATACACCGTCAGCCACCCGGGTCTTTGCAAACAGTTGAGCACCACTCCACTAGGCAAACTCTTCTAGAGCAGTGTTTGTTGGACTGAAGTCTGAGCTGTGAAGCTGCAGACTTAAAGGAGTGTTTTTGTTTTTTATTTTCTGCTTCGGGTGAGAGCCTTCCTAAGTGAAGAATGGCTTCAACTATCGGGAAATTGTGATTGTGATTTCGGTTCTCTCTTATGAGGGGGGAAAATGGCGCCAAACTGAAATTTTTAAATGAGGCTCTTCTGTTTTGGGTGAAGGCTTGATGAGAGTTTGCCAAGACAACCCTTCTATGTGCAGTGGTGTTTTCACTTTTTATTTTTCGGCGCCCACCCAACTAAAGGGTCAAACTTGAGCCTCCAGGTTGGAGTGCAGAGCACCAATCGATGAGCTAAAATCATGGATGTCGAGTCTCGTCATTGCCTGAATGCCTCTTTCTGCGAAAGCAAAATCCAGCCCCTCAGTGCGGATGGCACCCTACGCACAGTGTGCGTTCTGCATTTAGGGAGGGCCGACCCTGGGTACACACCTTGTCGACAAACAGCACGGTGACGAATTGACACCCTTCAAATCTGCCGAGTGACTGATTACAAATTTGGTGAGGTACCATCATTTTTGTCCAGACCAGTTCCATTATTTATTTGATTGGTTGATTTTTAATCATTCTGTTCACTAGAATTCAAAAAGCACTGTCTAGCTTTCATTAGTTAATTTTCGGTAAATTTTTATTTGTCCCTTTTTTTCCAGATTCAAGTACATTTCTATGGGCTGTTGTTGTACAACCTTCGGACTCAGCTGGCGGCAGGCCTTGCAGGGTGGAATGTCGCACCTAACATTGCTATGCTGGCAGATCCATTATCAACCCACCTCATCACCAATCACCACAATTACATAACGGTTCGGAGGTGCCCATCCACCACTGGCCTTTTGCAGCACATAACTCCACAACAACAAAGAAAAGAAGAATAACTTCGACAGCCCGCTTCTTTGTCTTTTTCTCGCCTGTTGGCATTTCTGATTCCTGTTGAAGGATCCGCGATTCACAGCCTTTATTGGCTAAAAGGCGCTCATTTTCAGCATAGCCAAGACCTCTGAGCCATGGTCTGTTTCCACAGCAGTGTCACGTTTCCGTCACATTGAAATATCGCATAATATAGACTGATTGAGCCGTTGTTGACTGCGGTTGTTTTATGAGGCGGAGAGTAAACTGTCATCACCCACAGCATTTCCACAAAACCATGTTTAGGGTCAGGGATGTTGCCTATCCGAACTGACTTTGGACGAGAGGTGGGGTGCACACCGACCACCCAATCAGTGTACATGGAAACAAACAATCCTTCACATCCACATTCGGATTTGTGAGCAATTTAGAATCTTCAATTGATCTGACAAGGACAGGGAGAAGAGGCAATCTTCAAGTCCAAGTCAAATTTTGAATCCACATTCATTTGACTGTGAGGTAGACTAACATGCTGCCGTAAATGGTTTATTCAAGTCAATTTTAATCTGATACATTTTCTACCACCTTTCCAACTCAAGAAAATAAACAAGCTTACTCATCAAATGCACATGCATCTTGAATGACCTTGTACCTTACAGAGTCTCTGCTGTATAATCACTTTATCGTCTAACACATCTTCAATTGGCTTTACAGAGCCAGCAGTTCTCTGGCCATCTTATCGCAATTAAGTGTATCTTACTGGGGTGAGACAATTAACCTGATGCTTTGTGCCCTGAGTAACTAAAACCCTCCTGCTGGATTAAGCAGCCCCTGTGTTGAGGGGATTACTTGTGACTTCAAAGGAGCATAACCTCCCATGTTTGTGGGGATTAGAATCGGATGCCACACAATTTTAGCCTTTGCTGCGCCAATAAACCAGCCAATTAGTTCATTTTACTGTTCTGTGCATACATCGTAAATACACTTCAATGTGAAATGACAGAAGGCCAACACAACCACACCTGAATACAAAGTGTTGTACAGTGATTCCTCGCTATTTCGCGGTTCGTTTATCGTGGCTTCAGTGCATCGCGGATTTTTTCAAACATATTCATAAAAATAAATAAATAAATAAATTACGTCCGCAAAAAGTCTGCAAAAGGTCCGCGAGAAGCAGCGAAAGTCAGCAAAACAACAGCGAGTGACATATAGCAACATATACAGTACTACATGTACAGTATATGTTTACTGTATTTTGTTATTCATAAACTAATCTAACTTATACATGTTTAAATCTATTAGCATACAGCATTAAGTCATGTTAATTACTTCAAAATGTACTTCTACATGTATGTATACCATTAAATTTGGCCTTATAAATATTATGTACATGTACCTATATGGAGGGGGGGGGTCGCTTCTTCGCGGATTTTTGTTTATCGCGGGTGGTTTTGGTCCCCATTAACCGCGATAAACGAGGGATTGCTGTATATCAAGTAAAAATCAGACACATAAAAACAAGCAATAATTAACCCTTTCATGCACCCTGTAACTGGATAACATGATAAGCCGTCCACTGCAGTAACCACTGTCCCTGAAAGGATTCATGATATAAAAAAAAAATTAAAAAAAATTTAAAAAAATACACACAGTACAATTCCATAAGAAAGAATGCAGAAAATACTGAAGCTCAACCAACCTTGTAATTGGTTCTTGTCCTCTTCTTATCTTCCATCTGTGTCAAGAAATCAGCAGAGCTGCTTCTATTGTTGGGATTGATTGTCTTCACACACTGTCTAAAGCACTGCTTTGGCATAATAGGTGGCAACTTGGTATAGACTCCGGTGTTCTCTGAAGCACACAAAGGTATTGTGGGGACATTTTCGAGACACCTCTTCTTTTCACTCTCCTTAATTGATAAATAGCATTTTAGTGCAGCTGTCCTGAAACACAGAATGATTGTTTGATAAATGAGGAACGGTATAACAATATGGTCACGGGCGCACATATTTCTACTCTAGTTTTCTAGTTGCTCCAGAGGTTCTTGCTTGGTCTTCGCTCTTTTCCCAAGCCGCTGACCTCACTGGCAGTGGAGATTCTAGAATGTATTATGATTAGTATTAGTATTATTAGTGCAAACTACATGTTTGCACTGTGGCTGAGAGAGAAAAGTAATTTCTTCTGTGCTGTATGTTCCACATAGAGCATATTTGACAATAAAAAGCTGACTTGACTTTATTAATAGATTTGCCCTATAAACCCATCTTGAGAAGTGTTATAGGGCAGTATTGCCATTGAATAACTTAATGCAGCCCCTCTCCCCTACCTGGCCGGCAACCAGTTCAGGGTGTACCAGCTGGGATTGGCTACAGCACACCCATGACCCTCGTGAGGATAAGCGGATTAGAAAAAGAATTGATGAATGGTTTGTTGGAAGAAAGTAAACATGGCTGTCTAAAAGTGACACACTTATGATTATTGTTTACCTTCTTGTAATGTTTTCTTTAATGTTTACAGATATGCCTTCGGTGGCGGACTCCTGTTTTGCTGGCAGACAGACGACTGACGAAAGATCCGCCACATGTCTTGTATTTCGTTTCTTCGAGGGGGTGACTACACCGGGGTTGCTTCAAGCGGAGCGTTTGTGTGTGTGTGTGTGTGTGTGTGTGTGTGTGTGTGTGTGTGTGTGTGTGTGTGTGTGTGTGTGTGTGGTGACAACTGACAAGATTGAGTCAGCCTGAAATGACAATGAGGGGCTGGTGGGCCGGCCACTGGCAAATGACAAATGACAATCACTGCTGTTAACCTTAGGACATTTTTTTTGTTTTTTTACTGACTGTCTTAAAATAGTGGTGACGCACTGAAATTCAGCGATGACGGAAGAGTGGTTAAAATAGTGATGACGAACTGAGCTACTGGGCCAACCTGAAATAATAACAGACTGACGATGACAGACTACCGGGGCGGCTGCTGGCAAATGAGGCACAATGGACCAGCGAAGTGTCCTGGCATGCCCACTTCTAGTTTTCATCAGTTTGGGTGCAGAAAAGTTTATTTCACAGGAGGCGCAATACTCACTGTGTTAACTAATACAATTTTGGCCTAAATAGTTATTGAAAAGCTCATCACAGCAGGATTTGTTACATCAACAGTCATGATGTAACCACTTGACAGTTTACTACCACCTAGTGAACACAATTAATTAGTTTGGCTTTCTAATATTTGTCATAATGTGAACTTTTGTCAGTGAAATGGAAACAAAAATGGCGCCAGCACACTAAGGAGAACTAATGTCTTGCCATTGGGTAATTTGTTCTCCCTAACAGGAGCCGATGCTTTGTGCGCGGCTCTTGCAGGCGGTTTACAAGGGGGACTTTTGTGTTTGTTTGTGTGAGGAACGGGAGGGGTCTGAATTTAAAACAAGCATACCCCTCTCTCTCACTTCCACTCAGGCGACATTATGTTGGTTATGCAATTTAACCCTTTCATGCACCTTGTAACCTGATAACATGATAAGCTGTCCACTGTAGTAACCGGTGTCCCCGAAAGGGTTAATATTTTCAGTGAGAACCTATGCACCACTTGTGTATCCCTGAATATAGTCGAATAATAAGGACTATTAAAGCTACACTGAGATGGAAAAAAAAAATAATAGTACAATGAGAAAATTCAAAACAATGACAGAATAATGTCTTGAAGCTTCGATTTAAAACAGGGATGTCCAAATCTGGTGCTCGATTACCTCGAACCGCTATCCTGCATGCTTTCAATGTTTCTCTCCTGCAGCAAACCTGATTCAAATAATCCGAATCGGGCTTCTGCAGAGATTGCTGATCATTTGAATCAGGGATTGTCACGGTGCGAGGTGCAAAAATCAGGCAGGAGGGAGGAGCAGGGTAGTGATGTGCCCGACTGTGCCGAGGCTCCGATGCGTGTGCCGAGTAAACCGGAAGAAAATGTGCGAAGCGCACATCGAGGCGTGTGTTGATTACGCTTGCGGCCACGCCCGATGCCTCGGAACGCGCGTTGCTCCGCCCGAAGCCTCGCGGGACGGGATTTCTACGTCCCCGCCAACAAATAAGTTTCGCGGGAGAATCGAAATAAATTCGGCGCACCGGGACGACAATGAGCTGACAAGTGACACTGACGAGAGGTAAGATCGGGCCGCCCGAGCCCGCGAGTCGGATCGGGTCGGGCTTCTCTCTCGCCGACTTTTTTTTTTGTTCGTTCCGAAGCCGTGAATAGCTTTGGCCACAAGAGACTGTGGTTGGCCAAAAAAAACGAAGTGGCCTCATCACAACACGTACTGTACTAAACTCTCGCAATGACAACTCAGAGAACTCTTTCATGTCTCTATGATCCAGCCGTCATTGTTGTTCTTTGTCTCGCTGCTTCTCTCTCATCGAGTGCCACCGCGCACGATTCTTCAGGATGTACTGCTGCTGTGGTGAATGGCCCAATTTTCAACCCGTCCAAATCACGGAATGCCTTAAATTTATCCTACAACTCTTAAAAAAAAAAAAAAATCAGTCAATGATTGAAAATTGTCGGTGAATGTACCCTCTGCTGCAACAAACAAAAATACATGTTTAAAGGATGTAAATAATGATACAGACTTGTTGAACTTAGATTTTGTGGAAAAGACATGCTTTCATTTGTTGTCACAAATCACCCCTCCTCCTCCCGAGTCATCACAAATGAAATAGGAAATGTCGGGTTTGCTTCGGGCTCGGGCCTGCAAATCAAGTTCATTGGTCGGGCTCGGGCCGGGTCGGGCTGGATTTTTTTGGCCCGATCTTACCTCGACATCAAATCCATGGTCTCATTTTAATCACTGTCATGACATTTATTTTCCACATGATGGCGCAGTAGTACAAATAAAGCCTCATGATGCTTCGGCCCAGGAACGACCCAGTTGGATGGAAAGCCTCATTGCTTCATGAGGCTTCATTTTCCCATCACTAGAGCAGGGTGTACTTGACGAATTGTATTGATAAAAACCAGAGAAAACTAAATCCAAAACAAACAAAGTCCAAAGTATCAAACAAAAACCATGGCAGAAGCTCAAAACTTATAATAACAGAAACATGACCTAAACATGACAGAACAAACCAACCTGACAGCAGCAAAGAAGCAAACAAACAGCCAACAATGACCCGACACCGAGTGGTCATGCTGGGAGTCCCTTTAAACAGCTAATGACATAACGACCAACAGGTGTGCAGCTGCAGGGAGAGCCCTACAGTGCCACCTGTTGGTCACAAACCGAAACATGACAGGGATGTTACAGGAGCACAACAGCTGAAACATGCAGGATATCGGCCCTCGAGATCCGGATTTGGACAACGGGGGGATAAGCGAACTTGGCAAAAGCTGAAGATGAAATTTGTGAAGAAATGCCAAGCAACACACAGTATCTGCCGGGATGTGAGAGGATGACTACAATTGGTAATGTTGCAAATGTAAGGGCAAATTAGGTTGTGTATGTCGATGATGGAGGTGAAACGGTACCTCTCAAAAAGGTAATTCTCTGAAACTGCTCAAACATCTAAGAACTATCTCCCGACGTATATTCAATTCTCTGCGTGGTGATGCTGCACCTTTGTCTGCGGGATCATTATCAAAAGGACAAGCCATGTTTGTCTCCACCTACTCTGTCTCACATACTCTTGATTTTTTTTTAAAAAGACAGACGGCAGTACGAGGCTACGCCAAAACTTACCTGATGACTAAATGAATGAGGAAATGAAATAGTGTGTGGTTCTGAAAGAGGGCTTGTACAGAGAGAAACTCAAGGATCATTAAAAAAAAAAAAAATGGTCCCAGCCAGGTTAGGTTCAGAGACTATGTTACTGCGATAACTGAATTTACCCCTGTCATGACCCTGTCCTGTCTCCAGCAGGTGGCATTGGAGAGTTGTTCCGCAGCTGTTTCCTATTATGTAATCAACCCTCGCCTGCTATAAAGGACTGTTCAAGCCCTCACCTGTTGTCGAAATATTCGCCTTGTCTCATGTCCAAGTACTTATTTTTCTTGACCTTCAGCGTTCTCGATCACAGTCATAGTCTGGGTTAGTATTTCTTGTTTGTTTCGCCTTTGCCTCATATTCTTGCTCATCATGTTATACTCGGGTATTTTAGATTTTTCTTGTTGATTGGCTTTTCCTTGTTTTTTTGTGTCAAGTGATTTTGCGTTATTGATTTCCCTTGCCGTTTGCAAGCGGTTTTGGTTAGACTCGTTCTTATCGTGGTTATTTTGTTACCAGCGTTTTATGTTGTACTTTGTTCGTCTTGTGACCTTATTTGGTCAAAAAAACATTTTTGTATTTCAATCTTCTTTTGGACTGCGTTTGTGGGATCCGCTTCTGTTTCGGACTACTCCGGAACCATAAGAAACCCACTCTCTGAAAAAGGCTCTAGTTACCTCTATTTCTCTCGTTTGCGTTACCTGATTATCTGCTGGTGAAATATAAGGTTAAGTTCTACATGATGCCCGTCCCAGATTTGGAGGCATTGGTACGGCTGAATCTTTTGTGATGCTTATTAGTGTCATGATAAATCGTACCTCGAATAATACCGTGTTGCTATTTTCATTTTCATCAAAATGATTGTAAAAGTAATAACAAAACACAGTAAAGTAAAATTAAAAATAGATATTTGAGAAAAAGATGAAAGTAAATCACCTTTCTAATTCAGGGCTTTTCTCCATGCTCCTGAAGTAACGTTCCATATTGCTCTGTTCTTTACTTCCTTCAATGATATGGGTGACCTGTGGTTAGAGTTGGTTTAACATTCGAAGCACAAATAAAGGATGTTCTAAAAAAAAAAAAAAACTGCAAACTATAGCATTAATATACATACATACCTTCAATTGTTGGCTTAAACTTTGTTCCGGATCCGAACTCTCTTTTGGACACTCTCCGGTGGCAACCTTTTGAGCAGTTCCATGCTGCTTCACAAAAGTAAAAAAATAATACAACTTCAATAAACAGGTCCTATTGGGTACTTTATATAAATAAGATACTTATTTTTGTTTTCCAATTTTACCAAGAGCTAGGGTTTAAAAAAAAAAATAAAAAATGGGGTCTAGAATTGGCTGGTACTGAATGAGGTAAGAAAGAACTGCAATCCTTCTTTAGTTTGTATATATTAAGGATATTTTATCTTTGAACATTTCACATATACGGTGTTAGTCAAAGAAAAAAAATTGTATTTTCTTTTTCTGAGTTTTCCCCGGTTTCCTCCCACATTCCAAAAACATGCATGGCAGGTTAATGGCACACTCTAAATCGTCCCTAGGTATGAGTGTGAGTGCGAATGTATGTCTATGTGTGCCCTGCGATTGGCTGGCAACCAATTCAGGGTGTACCCCGCCTACTGCCCGAAGACAGCTGGGATGGGCTCCAGCATGCCCCACAACCCTTATGATGATCAAGCAGATCAGAAAATGGATGGATGGATGGACATCTTTAGATGAAGCATACACAATTTTAAGATGTCACATCAATCCCCTCGGAGTAGTTTGTTAAAAAAATGTCTCTATGAAAATGCCAAAAACGGTGACAAATTTCAAAGTGAATTGATTGAAATGGATTCAATGAATTTTAACATATGGCTTGAAATGACTTTTTGTGGGTCGTGGGCCGTTCTACATGCCTCACAGTTTTCATTGATCTAGTTGAAACTTAAACCTGAGAATATTTTGGGAAGAAGGAATTTTCAAAAGCAAAATTCAATGCCACACAAAACTTTTTTTTTCTCTTGTTGTTGCAGTTGTTAAAACAGTAGAGTTTGAAGTAAATCTGTAGTATGAGTATGACCCCTGCGAATATGTAAAAATGGGCCAAAATTGTACATTCAAATGCTCATCGCTCACTTCCTGTACAATGTACGACTAAAGATGTTTTGTACGTCTGAGTGTGCCTTCCAATTTTCACAGCCAAAGGTCACACTTAGCGAGTGTTGGGGGAAGAGTGGCCTCCTCTCCCCCGCGTGTTCGTTGAATTTCGGACGATGAGAATGTTGGTAATCCAAATAAAGGCTGGAGTCGATGAACAATTTCTTCGAAGCTTTTAATAACAGAATATTCTGGGCACCCACGAATTACAGACAATGGCTGCGCGTCACGAGTGCGAAGCAGGAAGAGATTCATATCATTTTTATACCATCAGAAGAGTGGTACCGAGACGCAAAGTGTGATATCATAACCTCCTGAACCGATTCTCAGCTTGTATCAACTAGCGCATTCCAATGTTTGTGCATCTTCAGCAGGGAGTATTCCAATTCTAGGTGATGATTGGTACAAGGACGCAAAGCTACACTGCGGGCATGGGAAAGTTATACAGCATGACTAAATATGAGCATATTACAGACTTCACTAGGGATCTCTTAAACCTTTGTTGTTGGACGCTACAGACCCCCTATTATTTATTTATTTTTAACTGCTGTATGACAATATTAAAATATCATTTTTCTTTTGTTTGGTGAGTTTATGTTCAGGTCTCAAAAATATGATTCTTTGTAAAGAACAAGAAGATTTTTTACAGAAAATAGAGACCTCGCAGCGGTCACTGCCCAACCCCTAATAATGATATTATCCTTATTATAAGCACCCAAGTGGAAATTGTACTGACACTCTACAGCTACTGATTATTTTAGTCCTGCACCACTTAGAAGGCCAGAACCTATACATGCCGGAATGCAAGCAGAGATGCCGGATTGAAGGGGTGCACATACATGGCCAGTGTTGGGGAGGAAAGGGGTTGGGGGCGGTCACGGTGTGTTTCAGTGCCTTGTTCAAAGGCCTTGCAGCAGTAGACCGGAGAAAGACTCACATCTACGACCCTCCAGTTCCAAAGATGTATGAGCTATTGTCACTTCAATCAGCGGCCCAAAGCGATAATTTGAAATGACCAATGTTTTGTTGCACCTTCAAATCAGTGACAGGTTTACAGTTATATTCAGCAGAATACCCAGTCGATATATCAACATGCACAAACATAAGTTGTCCCTGTTATTGCCTTTTGACACCCATTAGGAAAGTCCCAATCAAATGGAGCCAATAATCTTGCCAGAATTGCATTTGGAGGATGGTAACTTGTGTAATATCTTTTCTTCTAAATTGGGAGACCAGTAATTGCTTCTCAATGAGGCAATGCCAGAACAAAGTCTGGCAATTGCACCTGGCCGTATTACCTCCCGGACCAGAGAAACATCTTTTTTTGCAATGATGACTTCAAAGAGGATGTGGATCTTGAATTGCATTTAGCCGCTATTGTGGACAGCCTAGGTAATCTTGATTGGGTGTTTAGACCGAGGCAGGGGCAGAGGTATTCCCAAAGCTTTGGTCTAAAGCTATTAAAAGATTGGACATTATGTTACCTTGGCTTTGAAGTGAGGGCCTGCGAGAGGACACGGTCACGCGAGTACAATTGCAGAAGATTGATCTGCTACTTCTGTTGTTATTATTAAAGAATACTAGTCTCAACAAACCTACTCATTGCTACTGCTGCACTACCACTTTGATGGTGCAAGCAATTGCCGCATTAGAAACTGGTGTACATTTAATAGTGTGTAATTACAACTCCTTTGGATTTCTACAAAAGGCCAAATGTGCAGTGGCGGACCCTTAGGGCCAGCAAGGCCTTCTCTGCTGGCCTAAACATTCTCAGAAAAGTAAATTTAATCAATTTATTTTCTGAGAATAACAAATTTAATTTGTTATTTTATTTTCATAAATATGTAGACAAAATTATTCTCTGTATTCTTTACGTCATATTATTTCCACTTGGTCGAGTAACATTGAAAGCCACTCGATAAATAACTTATTTATTATGGTAGAGTTTTTAACCAATAATATTTCAGCTAGCTTGTGTTGCCAGGTAAATTAAATTTGCTCAGAGCCTTCAGATTAATCAGAGCAGGCCCTGTGCGCTGTAAATGAACGGGCACAGTCAGCTTGCAATAGCCAATCAGATCACGAGTCTCAGACTTGTGATCGGACTCGTCTGCTACCAGGGCCAGCTAGAATGCCCTACGTCGAGGCTGGATGTGCGTGTTCGCTGATTGGACAAGCGCCTGCTAGAGCTATCACTGCATTTTAACCCAAAATGGCTGAAGGAGAAGACATCGATCCGGTTGCGGAACTACTTTCCACTCAATTTTCAAGACGGACCTTCCACCAAAAGCTGGATATTGTGCGAAGAGGTCACCCAACTCCTGTGCTACCTAGCCTGTCCCAGCAAGGAAAAGGGTTTGTC